GGCCAAAGACGGCAGTTTACCAAAGTTTATACAGTAAAATAAAAATCGTTTGTTTAGAAAGGTGCTACAAGACTCCTTTAGATGTTTGGTTATTACAGGCTAACTTGGCTGTCCTCCCCCAACATTTATCAGGAAGATAGAAAATCCATGCACACAATTATATTTCTGCAGAGGAGAAGAAAGAGATTGCAAAAAGACAGTCCTCGAATTACAACCGTAATGCAGCCTGCCATCATGGTCATAACTTGTGACAGTCATACAGCAGGTCTGCAATATTGCTCTTTGACCACTGTGCCACCAGAGCTCTATGCAAGGAAGGTTGAAACACACAATGGGAATGGTCCAGAGGTGGTATTCAGCAGGTTCGGACCAGTTCTGGAGAACCAGTAGTGGAAATTTTGAGTAGTTCAGAATACCACCACTGATTGGCCCCGCCCCCAACTATTCTCCGCCTCCCATTGAGTCCCAGCTGATCGGCTGGTGCTTCTTTGGTTGCCCTGCCCAGGAGAACGGAGCTGGAAAGCAGGTTAGTGGGGTGGGGAGGGAAGGGGGATTTTCCAGTATCCTTCCCCTACCACGCCCACCAAGCCACGCCCACCAAGCCACACCCACAGAACACCTCATCCACCAAGCCACGCCCGCAGCTGATCGGCTGGGTCTTCTTTGGTTGCCCTGCCCAGGAGAACGGAGCTGGAAAGCAGGTTAGTGGGGTAGGGAGGGAAGGGGGATTTTGCAATAACTTTCCTCCTGGAGTGGGGTGGGAATGGAGATTTTTGCAGTAGCCTTCCCCTGCCATGCCCACCAAGCCACGCCCACAGAACCAGTAGTGACATTTTTTGAATCCCACCACTGGAATGATGGCTCACCCTCAGCTTGCTAATGAACGCGATGCCTTCCTCGGCTGACAGCTTCCCCTGTTCCTGAACGATACTTTGGATGGTCTTGAGGACGTCTCCAGCCATGGTGACATCACCGCACACGTAGACATGGCCACCCTTCTCCTTCAGGGCTTTGTAGACTGAGCTCGCCAATTGCTCCTGCAGTATGTCCTGCACATATTTCTACAAGAAGGAAAAAAAAAAAAAACCAGTTTTCACAGCACATTGGCCGATATCGTCCTTGACAGTCGTTCAATGAGCCACACCAGATTTTACAACCCTTTTGTGGTTCAGTGGATCATGCAGCCGTGGAGCAAATCCAGCTTCCTCCCCCTATTGACTTTGTTTTTTTTAATTTGTCTCTTTGGCACGGTGTGTAGGCGTTGTTTATCTCCATGTGCCTGTCGGTGGCCGATTTGTCTGAGTGACAAGACATCTGGGAAATGATCAGGAGAGTCTGCTCGGGATGTGGGATGTGGATAAGGCAGGGTGAATTACCTTTGGTTTTTCTGGTTCACGAGAATAGGCTGTGAACAGCTCCTTCAACACCCCACTGCTCTTGGCCAGCAAAGTCTCTTCTTTGTAAATGTGATCGATCTTGGATTGTCGGCAACCGAAGACCAGTGTCATGGGGCATGGTTTCAGCCCTAGTGAGAAGATTGGGAGAAGAAGAAGGAGGAGGAGGTGTTTGTTTTTTTCCTTACCAGTCATCTCAACACGGAACAAGGCTGCCAAGAAGAATAGATAAGAAATATTTCACCACACAAGAGTCTTCAAAAACCAACTTAAGATACTGCAATGTCCACGAGGCTGGAGTTTCAAAACGTCTTTGCTTCTTGCAAAGAACATTCGCTTTACAGCTGGATTTTATCTTCTTGAAGGAGGGATCATTACCTTGCAGCCTTACTCCCAAGTCGCCCATGCTGTTGCAGCTGCTTTTTCCTGCGAGCAATCCTGCACGCACGTGCACTTGGCACAGGCTCCTCGGGAAACTCCTCATCGCTGCTGCCAGGCCCCACAATCCCTGAAGGCAGCAGTCCACTCCCTAATGGTCCTGGCCCCTCATCTGAGTCCTCGCTCTCGTCACCCATCCACACCTGCTGCCGGCTAACCACAACAAAATCAATTCATTTGCTACTGTTGCGTGTCATCTATCCATCAAATTTCCCAAAATTAACCAACCTTTATGTTTGAGATCAAAGAGCCGCTGTTGCCAGAAGCTGCGAAAAGGTGCAATTCCAGTTCCAGGGCCAATCAGAATGCAAGGAAGCTTGGGGTCTTGTGGCATGTGAAATCCAGGTGCCCTGGAGAAACAAAACAGGAGCTTCACTATCACCGCACAAGCTGGCATCCATCTTCTTGCATCAGGAGGTCATGAAAAGTAGACTACTCCGAAGAGAGAGAAAATGCTTCTGCCTGTCACTGCTGAGAAGGTTAGAGGCAAACGATGTTTTATTTTTGGGGTGCCTTCGAGTCCAGTGTTGACTTGTGGCAACTATTCTTCTTTTATTTTTCTTATATGTACCCATTTCATGTATTCACAACTATGTATACACTTATACTTATCTTGTAAACAATTGGCAAATCAAATAAATAAATAAATAAATAAACTACCTAGACCGGTCCCTGCAGCTTTCTTGGCAATGTTTTTGGAAGTGAATTAGAATAACAGAGTTGGAAGGGACCTTGGAGGTCTTCTAGTCCAACCCCCTGCTTAGGCAGGAAACCCTACACCACTTCAGATAAATGATTATCCAATCTCTTCTTAAAAACTTCCAGCATTTACAGCTTCTGGAGGGAAGTTGTTCCACTGATTAATTGCTCTAACTGTCAGGAAATTCCTCCTTAGTTCTAGGTTGCTTCTCTCCTTGGTTAGTTTCCATCCGTTGCTTCTTGTCCTGCTTTGGAGAGTAGCTTGACTCCCTCTTCTTTGGGGCAGCCCCTGAGATATTGGAACAAGTGGTTGGCCATTGCCTCCTTCCTAGGGCTGAGAGAGTGGAACTCGTCCAAGGTCTCTCAACAGGCTTTGTGCCTAAGGCAGGAGTAAATATATCTTGGTCTGCATTAAATTGGATCTCTTGTGGAATCTAGTTGCCAACCCCTCCCCCCCCACACCAAAAAAAATCAAGTTCTACAAGGAGTTTAGGTCAGAGTAACTGAAAGTCTATGCATTGCCTTCCCAGCGTGGGGCTGAATTTTACTCCCTAAATGCATAAGATCGCAACCCCAAACCAGTCCTTTAGAGCAGTGGTAAGATGTGTGGACTTCAACTCCCAGAATTCCACAGCTAACTGGCTGGCTGGGGAATTCTGGGAGTTAAAGTCCTCCACGCATCTTAAAGTGGCCCAGGTTGAAGAACACTGCTTTAGAGAACTCCGAAGGTGGAAGAAAATATTCTATTTTAATCTGAAGTGAAACATTTAATAACCATCCAACTATTGCATGAATATACCTGGAGAAAGAATGCTTTCACCATCCCTAGGGAATTGATTCTATGGTTGAAGTTTTGCAAGAACCAGAATCTCCCGTTATAACTTAAGGACATAAAATCACTTTTTTTCCGAGGCTGTTGTAACTTTGAACCATCATTAGATGAATGGCTGTTAAGGCAATGACAACCTGTAATGCCATTTCTGCTTTGACCAAAACACATTTGGGATTCTTCAGCCAAAGGTTAAATAACAGGTGAACTGACTTCTAGCATTGTGGTCAACCTAGAATAAACTGGAACTTGAGTCTGGAAAGTTCAACGGTATTAAAAACAGACTGGCACCCACATGGCTTAGTTTTGTTTT